CCTGGCCAGAAACCCTTTTAGACACAGTGCTCAATCGGCCTCCCTGCGAGCGCCATTTGATTTGCTGCTTCTCTGTGGTTCCTAGTGCCCCCACCCCCATCCACCCCCATCCTGTCGTGAAGGTAGCTCTTGCTGGCCCCTCGCCGAGCGCTGTAATTGCTCCTTCCTCAACCCATCCTCATTCTCCGAGGCTCACACAGCAGGCCCAACCCCAGGGGAGAGCAGGGTGGAGACAAGGGCTGGGGGAGCAGTTGATTTGTCCCCAGACAGTCATTTATAAGGGGTGGCTGTAGTCCCGGAAGACACCATCATGAGTTCCCAGCATGTGGTCCCTGCATATCCTTGCCCCTTCCTCCTTCCCCTAAAGGTGATAGAGCGACCTCTCCCTGAGCCTCTAGAAAAGGTGCGGGGTCCTGGGATCTGCAAGGGTGCCGCCAAAGGCTCCCCTGTCACTGTCTGGTCCATAGGAAGCCTACATAGCAGACCTGGATGCCAAGAGTGGGGCGAGCCTGAAGCTGACGTTGCTGAACCCCAAGGGGAGGATCTGGACTATGGTGGCCGGGGGTGGCGCCTCTGTTGTGTACAGGTGACTCAAGGGGGCGGATGGTTGGGACCCCAGCCAGGTCCACACTGTTTGGGTTCTGGTTTCTCATTTAGGTGGGGAGTGGGAAATAGTGAGGCAAGGGAGTCGGGATTTCTCAGCACAGGGGCTCCCCAAGGCCGGTCCTGCCTCGCGCTCAAAGCAAAGGGACAAGCAGTGAGCCAGGAAATGAAGATTCCCAGGACCGCCCCCCGCACCCCCCCAGCCCTGCGCCCAAAGCGCTCGCACCCTGTCGGTGCTTCAGGTCGTACCTGTCCTGCAGTACTTACGGTGATTCTCTTAAGGTTTTCACTTTTCCAAAGGGGTTCTGACAGGTTACTTGTAGCAGCTAAGTCTTGTCCACGGGTACAGGACAGGCCCCAGTCTTGGTGGCAGCTCACTTCTAGACGTGCACGCCACCTTTAGGTGGCGGGCGCTGCCCTCTGGGGGCCTGTCTGGGACTCCCCCTGGGCTGTGTCCTTTCCCTACTCTGACAGGAGGTGGTCACCTGCCTCTTATCTGCTCTTGGCTGGTCCACAGCTGCCTGGTGGTGCAGCTAAGTGCTTGCCTGAAAGGCAGCAGGTGGTTTGAGCCCAGTCTAGGTCCCGCAGAAAAAAGGCCTGGTAATCTCTCTTCTGAACTCTCACACCTTTATTTTTTTTATTGGCAGGTCTCGCATTGCTTCCATTTTATTCATTTCAAATCACTTTAGCTTTTCTGAAGACACTGCCCATATTTTCTACTACCCCCAAAGCCCTAAACATTGTTAAGAATGAGGAGACATTTCCAACTTAAATCGTGAAAGAGTGCCCCAGCACGACGGCCGCACTGCGGTCATTCCTGCGTGCCGCGCTTCCTTGTGCAATACCACAGTGTTGAGAGCGGTTAGGAAAAGCAGGAGTGTGCACACACTTCTGAAGTGGCCGACCATCCTGTTGGCATGGAGCAGGGACAGTCTAGGGGCAGCTGCAGGAGCGGGCTGGGCAGATGCCGCCGGTCAGGCCTAGGATTGTGCATCTATCTCTGGAACCGTCCTACCAGATTGC